TCCTCCTGGTGGTAAACATGTGAGATAATCTATTAATTTCATTTGCTTGAATCTGTCGCCCAAGAGCTTTCTGATTTGCCTCAATCAAGAGTGGTTGCTGTTTCTGCCAGGTAGATGCCATGAAAGTTCAGTTTACCCTCATCTGGAAAAAATTCCCTTTCTTGTTCACTTTAATTGGATCTCTTATTTCCTAATCCCTTTTCTTCTTTCTTTTCTAAATCCATTGGTTTAAACTACAGCTTTTTAAGAAAGTGCGCTTTTGAAATAAAATTGTTTGGAGACTTTACAGGTGTAGATATGACATTTTTTCTTCCTTTGGCTTAATTATTTGTTGGTTTGGCTGATTATAGAATTCTTTGCTATAAGTCATTTTTTTCTCTGAATTTTACATGTGTACCTGGATTGTTTGTCACATACTGGGGATATTTTTGTGAATTCTGATGCAGTTATATTCTTGATCCTTTGTATGAAACCTAATGTATCTCTCAGGAAGCTTGTGGGATGTTCTCTTTGTCTCGATTGTATTTTAGTGTGGATTTTTTTTTACTTGAAGGACTTATTAAATCTCAATATATTATACTGGTAGACAATTCTGTTGAGTTATTTCATTGATGATTTTTTATGTTTGTTTTCCATATTCTGTTTTTCAGAACTCCTAACCATTAGACATTGCATATCCTGTACTGAATCTTGTAATTTTTAAATATTTTACTCTGATTTTCCATTTTTTTCTTTTAAATGTTTTTTCTTAAGGGATTTTTCATTAACTTTATTTTCCACTCTGCATTTTTTTGCAGTCTTTATTTTTATTTCCAAGACTTCAGTTTGTTTTCCTTACCATTTTTACCCACATCCTCCCTTTAAAAGTTCAAACATTTTGTTCTTACTTCATTGATGCACTGCCTTCTCATAACTCGCTGAAGAGATTGTAGTTTTTAAAGGTTTTTTTGGGTGAATTTTTGCTCTTGGTTCATTTCTATTTCTTACATCTTTTGTTTTGTTTGTTTAGTCTTTGTTTTCAAATCTTTCTTTGTATGTTTGGTTGTCCTTGGTAGCCTATTCTTATGTTAAGAGTTTGGCACTAATAATAAAAGTAGCAAACTTTATAGAACACTAACTTATCAGATACTGTTTTAGGTGTTTCATCTATTTTAACTTGTTTGCTCTTCATAATGACGTTAGGAGAAAGTTCTTGTTACCACTATTTGACAGATGAGGAATCTGAGTCACAAAATGTTTGCAGTGCCCAGTAAAAAACAATAAGAGTTTCATCTGGAATTAAATTCAGGCAACCTGACCCCATAGGCCATTCTGTTAGAATTTATTTTGCCCCTTACTGAAATCAATAATGTCTTGAGAATCTTGAATGATGTTTTGTATAGAGTTGCTCAATACAACTGAAATCAGGTGCTAATTGTAATTTGATGCATATTGGTGGAGTTTGTCAGAGCAGCGTTCCTGGGTGCGTTGTTTATTTATGGGGCCTCTGCTTCATTGAATGGATTCATCAGAGTAGTACAGTGTCAGCTGCCTTTCTGCTCAGAGACCTAAACCCGGCTGCTGGCATCTTGGTTGTGAAGTGGTGCGAGGACTGGGCTTATTGGTGTCACCTTTTCAAAGAAGCTTGCCTTAGGGAATCTTCATGAATGCACATGTTGATACTTACGGTAATAAACTTGCTGTGTGGGGTGAGAAACTGCCAGTCGCCCAGCTGTGCAGATGCCAAGGGCTGGGGGGGGTGGGGGGCTAGACCTGGGACTCCTGTATTGAGCCTCCCTCACCCTTCCTACTTCAGGGCTGCCCCCTGTTGAGCCTTTTGTGTATTCTGTGACATAAAGTGATTGAGCCTCCTTTTTCCACTAGTAGTTTGTCTTCTTATATTTGCTTTCACATTTTTTTGTAGTTTTTCGGATTTCACATGCTCTTTAACCTGTTTTTATGCAGAGGCAAACAAGTTGCCTTAAGGGAAAGACTTCTTGAAGACTTGAATAAAGTGCACTTTCTTAATTCGCTTGAAGTTTTCTGTCAGGCCTATCGATGTCTCCTCTTACCTGCTGCATTTCATAAAGCGTCCACTGGGTTTGTCACCTTATGACAATCTTTCCTTCCATCTTGACATTTAAAAAACTCTAGTAAGGCTTTTGCTGTCTCGTATTATTTGAATTTGCATGGTTTTCTTACCCTTTGCACTCTTCTTCACACCAGATTCTTAATGTCTTGAGAATCTTGAATGATGTTTTATATAGAGTTGTTCAATAAAACTTTGATCATTCTTTTGTGTGTTTTGCTTTCTAATATGTTTTTCTTGTAAAATATTTTTAGAATATCAGGAAAACATTAAATACTGAAAATAGCAAAGTAGGGAATAAAGCAATAAATGGAATTAAATCTGAGAATTTTAAAATCTAGATATTATGAAAAATTTCAGTGTAATTCCCTAATTGTAACAGAGTATACATCTCTTCTCCTGCCAGACGTGAGAATGCATTATAGGATCTGTAAAGATGTATTTATTACATGATCTCTCTTGTATGGCCAAGCTCACAGTTCTGGCACAGGGACATTTGATTTTGGTACATTAGTTTGGTGTTTGTAGTTTAATTGGCTATAATATAAAGTTCCAGAAATATGGTAAAAAGTTGTAAAAGCATGCACTTTAGATAACATTTAATATGTATTTTAGTAGCTAAGTTCATAAAGAAGTCCATACTAGTAATATTTCCTTTTATAAACTATTTTTAGTTTTTGTGTCTTGAAAAATGGATTTTTACAAAGCAATGCTGTTAATTTTCTTTCCTTTTACTTTTTAAAATGTTAGAAGGGAACAGAATCTATTGCAGGATTTAGAATTAGTTGGAGAAAGATTATTGGTCTAAAAATAATATTTATTTCTATAATACTATATTTAAACTCAGAACACATTTGTTTTCTAATGAGATATATTAATATTTCTTTGAAAATAAAGGAGAATAAATCTATAATCTGCATTTTAGAATGTAGAAATTTCTGGGACATAGGAAACATCAGTGGCCACTAATACATTCTTTCATAGAGCTCAATCAGTGCTTAGGAAACTGGTGATACTGGATTCCTTACCACAGGCAGACAGACTGAAGTGATTGTTAAACATGGGTATTTGTTTTTGTTTTCAACATTTCTGGCACCTTACAGCTAACTTATTAGTATGTAACTTATGAAAACACATAGGAGCATTACCCTTAAAATTCCATTCTTTTGAAACCATATTATTTGACCATGGCATATATAGATGCTAAAAATATTTTTTAATTGTCTTTTGAGATTTGTGGGATACATGGGGAAAAAGACAAACAGGGTGTTTATAGTTTGACTTGGTTAATTCTCAGGAACTATATCATTCTTCTTTCAAAATTCCTTTAAGAAAAATGTAATCACACACAGATTCTGTTCACTTGCAACACAAAATTAATGTGAATTCCATTTCCAATCAGCCAGTATCAAAAGTTTCTGAAAGTCTGGTTAATATTTTGTAAGTACTGTATGTATCTGGATGATTGGTTTAACTTTAATTTTTTGGAGAAATACATGTTTTAGTTTTTTTTCTTTGAATTGTTAAGTTATGGACAATGGAGACAATACTGTTACGTTATTGTGGCTAATTCAGTGTCATTTTAAATAATCTATTCTGTCTTCATATATTCCCTTTAGTATCATTATCTACTGAGTTTCTATGAAAATAAATTTGCGTGACTTAAATCCTCGAAAGTAGTGTTTTTTACTGTTAACTTTTTGAGTTTTATTTTTCTTAAGTGTTCCTTTTAGAGGCATAGCATTATTTTCAAGAAGAAGACTAGTGTAGATACAGATAAGGATTTAAAACAAATGATCTTAGAAAATGCCTTTAGGGTTACTTCTTGACATACGGCTTAATTTCTGAAGCTGGTGTTTTTTTTTTTTCGAGAACTGGGACAGCATTATTTTTCTGTGATCAAGTTCATCTTCTATTACTGAGCAAAAAAAAGTATAATTCCTTTTGGATATATTCACTTTTAAAGATAGAAAAGGAAACCAATTACTTGTGACCAGAATAGAATAACACTTGCAGCTACTGATTCACAATTATAGGTTCCAAGTCATAGATTGAGAAATTATATAACAATTTATTTCTCATTTTAATGTGTACCCCTATTACATATTTTACCTTTTTAGATATTTCAGTTCTTTTGTGATTAGATAAAGCTGGTGCTGTATTTCTGGAGCCCAGATACTAATGGTTTTATCTTTCCATTTTTATAATGTACATTTAGGGCCAAATAAAACATGTGTGTACTGTTTGTCTCTCTTACACACTTTGGGTAAAGAAGTGAGGAATTGTGGATATTCGCTTGTGTTTTTCTCATCTCTAGTCTCTCATGAATACATGACTTGATTTATCTTGATCAGCCTAGTAACTTGCTCCACATTTTTCCAAAAGTGCAAAACAGTTTCAGCTAAAAATACACACATATCAAAATGCTCTGAAAGTTGTGGCCACAACTAAAAAATGCTGATCAATTTTGAAAATCTAAATCAGCCCCAGCCATGAAACTGACGGAAGAACCTTTGTGGTAGGAGACAGATTTCCAAAAATTCACCACAGCCCTGTTCTTAGCTGGAGTTTGTACTGATGTTGCCAGACAACTGAGGAATAGATGCAAAAAGCAGGAAGCATTATTGAATTGAGCCCTAGTGCCAATTTGGGAAAAGCAAATTAAAATGTAAAAGAATATTTTTCCACTCCTGGTGTCTCAATATAAAATGGCAAAATACATGTGCTGAAAAAGTTACAAAAATGATTAATTTTGCCAAAAAGTAAAAGTCAGTTATGACTGTCTTGTGTTAAAAATGCATAGATCAAGTTTTTGAATCCAAATGAAATAGGTTTAGTTTACAAATCAAAATGTATATACATTTAAGCTGGAGAAATATTTTGACATGCATGACTGTGTGTGGGCTTGTTTCAGTGTCTTGATGTTTTTCAGGTGCCACTTGAAGAATGGACGATGATGATTTTGGTGGTTTTGAGGTATGCATTATTTACCTTAGTTTACTTTAACTTTGTGGAGTTATAATGGACTCAACTGTTTTGAAAATATATTATTTTTCATTGACATTCATGATCTTAATCACTTTGAATGTAACTTTAAAGTAAAAAATAAAATCAAGGAAAATTAAAAAGAATCCTTTCTCTGAAAGTTAAAACTGATTTATTAGAAGATTTGGTCTTGCCCCTAGGAATGGTTTAAATTAAGGTAATTAAATGCTACCATTGGAGGCACTAAAGAAGAGATTTTAAAAATTGTCAGCCAATTATCATTTTGCTGTGAAATGTCTGTTAGGAAATACTTGTGAGATAAGGGAGGAGTGTTAAAGACCCTGTCACATGTGTGCATGTTTACACCTGCAGTGAGTTGATTTAGTGTAGGAAACACAAAGCCTTTAGTGATTTATAAAACTAATTGTGTATTTCTGTGTTGTGAGATTATTCTCTCAGGTTTCAGTTGGATATTTTGTAAATGGAAATTGGTAACTGAAGAAGCAGTGTCTTTTCCTTAATCCTTTTCAGTGTGTGTTCATTTTACTGGAATATTTTATAACCCAGTTATTTTTATGGAACCAGCATAGCCTTGTAGGAAAATCTCTGAGTTAAGAGTCAGGATGCCTGCACTCAAGACCTAGGATGATAGTCAAGTGAACTTCAAGTGTGATATTTTTTTTTCTTGTTTAACTAAGACTTTCACCTACTTTGTATTACAATTATAAAAATTACCTACTATAATTATGACATTAATAGAAGAAATGAGATGTTATTATATATTATATTTCAGTGTTTTAAATTTCATGAATGAATGGTGTTAGGTTTTTAAAAGGCTGGGCTCATTTTCTGTTTTTTCTTTTATGTCTGATAAATATGGAAGTCTTTAGAATATAGACATACCTGTTTTGGGGGTTTCATCTATAACTTTTTTTTAGTGTATTTGACTGTTTTTTCATTTTGTTTAATATTTTGGGTTTATTAGGCAACTGAATTTTACGTCATTGAAATGTAACATTTAAAATTTTGTTAAAATTCTTTGCATTTTGAAAATATGTTTCAGATTATCATCTCACTTTATTTTTTGAAAGCTGTTATTTATTTAAAGGTTACAATGGAGAATAATCTCATTTATTTAAACCATGTTTGATATATTATGTATCTGTAAGAAAAACAGAGCGGTGCTCCTTAGTGTGACAAGTGCACTTTAATATTATGTTCAGTGCAGCTACTCTTTGCAGTATTGTGTAAGTGCAGTGTTAAGTGCCATTACAACTTAATTGTAGTTTGTTGTTTTTCTCTTTTCATACCCTTCCTTGGAAGTATAGAAGGTCTCTATACTTAGCTATATAAAATAGGCTTATTTTTCATAGATTATAGGCAGTAGCGACTGTCTATGTCACTTAGCTCCTGTGGAAGATTGCCCCATTTGACTTTTCCTTGTCTGAAAAATCAGTATAGAACTGAAACTGGCATTGTAGCTCTCATTTTCAGGAATAATTTTGCTGTAACCTGGTCACCTAAGAGTCAGAATACTCTACACTGTTATCCACAAACTCAGCATTCAGTAATTGTCCCCAAACAGGAGAACTTGTTCAGCTTTAGGAATTCTTTTAAGTATTTAATACTAGTAGATTCAGCTAGTATATTATTTAAGAATGTAGATAAATCCTATTTTTCAGATCAGTCTAAGGATTATGCTAATTGAACAGATCTAGCCTGTATTTTAGAAAAAAATTTTACATAGGTAAGTGTGGTGGTGAGTTAAATTATAATAGTTAGATATAAAGTTCACATGTGGAAAAATGATTAAGAACATGTGAAATAAAAATTTCTTTGGCATGATTATTTGAATAAGGAAGGAAACTTCTTACCTGAAGATCACAGGGAATGGGTACTGTGGGTGGTGAGAAGAGATGGGTGATAGCTGTGCACGCTAGGAAGCAGTTGGGTTTTAGACAGATTCTGACACTATGTGGTGCAGTCCAGAAGATACACATATAGAATTGGGATGCTTGGTCACTTAAGTAGCAGTTTTACTTTTTAGGTCTTTTAAAATAATCTTGACTTTGTTTCTAGGCTGCAGAGACTTTCGATGGTGGAAATGGTGAGACCCAAACAACGTCTCCTGCTATTCCTTGGGCTGCCTTTCCTACAGGTACTGGTATATGATAACTAGCATTTTTTTTCTTTTTACCATTTACCATTTTTCTCCTTTTCAAAGCTCTCTTTTCACTTTTTCATTTCATCTTCTCTGATCTGTAAAACTGAATGATCTGGCTTGACTCTTCAGTCTGTATTTTAGTTACAAATTACATATTAAATTCTGTGATGGCAGGTTGAGGCCTGATTCTAAAAATGATACTAGAAACATTATGTGAAATTAAATTGCAGAATATATTTTCTAATTTATATTAGTTTTAGAAAGATGAGGTGCTATATAACTTTTTTAGGTTGTCTTGTTTATTAATTGAAGAGCATTTAACATTCTAAAAAGAATTTATCATCTATTAGTATTTAAATTTAGAATATTTTTAATAGTAAAATCATCCATAAGTGATGAAAATTAATGTCATTAGGAGCTGAGGATATAGGTCAGTGGTAGAACCTTTGGTTAGCATGCGCAAGGCATACACGAATAGCATCACTAAAGGAACTGAGTACAAACACAAATTCCAAAACTGAGAAAGAGTTCTTAGAAGGCTTAATGTTCAATAGTAATATAATTTGTGTCTAAAGAATAGTTTGAATTTTCTAGACTGTGAACTGCTTCTTCTGTGAAGTGCTTATAAAGTCAGGAGTAGGAGATAAAAATAACTTTCTTTAGTAGTTCTACTTAGCGCTAAATTGTTAGAGTTATTTTGTCATACAAATATTTATCAGTTGCTTAGGTACTATGGAGACAGAGATATGCTGAACATAGTCTAATCCTGACTTCAAGGGCAGCACCAGGCACATGCATGTTTGTAATACTGTAATGGTTTCTATCTAGACTTTTCCCAAAGCCCAGTGTCTCATAGGTGGGGCTTCTGAGAGGTGACTGGAACATGGGTGTGTACTGCTCATAGCTGCGTGTAATGTTGGAAGGTGAATCCTGATGGGAAAAGATGGGTCACTGGGGAGCATAGCCTGAAAGAGTGTATATCCTTCTTCCTCCCTTTATCACTCACTGCTTCCTGTCTGCCATTCTTTGAGCTCTTTCCTCTATGAGGCCCTTCTGCCATGCCACCCTCCCTTGGAGCCAGCCAGGTATGAACTGGAGCCTCAACAAACTGTGTGCTGCGTATTGTGTCTCAGCAATGAGGAAGTATCATCATTTGGGAAGAATGATGATTTCATCATCCATTTATTAAATGATTATTTCATGCTTGGTATGAATGAGTCAGTACTGTCCTTGATACTGGGTGTTTGTATTGTTGAAAGATGCGTATTATTTCAGCAGGTAGATATGTGACATCAGGAAAAGACTTTGAAGGGTGAAAAACAAATGGAACAAAAGTATAATAGAGAAGAAAGGGGTGGTATAGTTAGGATGCTTCTTTTCATCTGAGGGCCTTTATCTTGTTTGCCTGGCCTAAGACTGTCTCCCTTGATTTTCAGTGCTACTTTCTCTCATTTTCTTGCCAAACTAACTTCTCTTTTATTAATGTATTATTTCTTGCTTTACTATTTCTTTTTCTAGGAATTCTTCCCAGAAATACTCCCTCTCCCCCTGTCATGTCTATGTGTACCTATTATCTGACTTTCATGTTCAACTTCTAAGTTTTGTGGTGTCAGGCATTATGTCTGTTTCTACTGTTTTTATATCTTAAATGCCAAACATAGTGTCTAGCTTATAGTTGGCCCTCAATAAATATTTGTAGAATGAATAATTAAGGGAAAACATCCAATGAATGAATTAGTAACTGAATCAGTAAGAGTATCAGACTTCGTGGACAAGGGTGTAGGTTAATGATCAGTTAATGAGAGATACCTTAGAAACAATAAGGGAACACGAAAAATGGATCCAGCAGCTCCTAGATGACTCCAAGAGGACTAATATAAGAGTAATTGGAATGAATGGAAAATCAGAGTGGCACAAAGGGAAAAAAAAACCCTGTTTACCCAAGTACTAGCAGAAAACTTTCCAGATGTGGAAACAGAGTTTAACATACAGATAAATCATGTATGTAGAACCCTGAATAGCCACGATTTGGATGAAAAGATTTTTAAGTAAACTACAGTGTACCTAAGGGGTGATAATACAAGTGGGACTAATCAGTCTTTCTTCAAAGGTCTGTCTGTAGCCTATAGTTTTGTTAGTGGATCAAGGTAGCTCAAGACGTGCATCTGACTGTGTTTAAGCCTCATTTGCATGAGAGACTTCTACAGAAGTGCTAGCTTATGTGCAGTACTACGGTGACATTAGTGAAATGACAGTCTGAGTAAGTGAACGGTGCTTGGTGGTCTTGATACCCACTATTTTCTGTAGGCTTATATTTCATCAAAGTGTGGCGTCTAACCCATAGTAATTGTCGTTATACTTTGATTATCAAAGAAATTAGAGAATGTAAGAGATGAATGAATACCAATTCATCAGTCTCTTCCTGTTACCTTTACCCTCTATAAACATGTAAAGATTATGACTTTATTCCAGTGAAATCTATCTAGGGAGAATTGCCCTCATTCAAGCATTTGCTCCCTGTTTTGTAGCCTTATTCTCCAGATTGCCTTTGTGTTGGGAACCCATGAGCTAAACTTTGATACACACAGTGTTCCTTGACAATGTCTGTTTCTGCATCTATGTCGTTGTTTCTAATTGTAACCTTCCTTCCCCTCCCATCTGCTGATCAGTCTTATTTTCCTTTCAAGAATATATGTAGAACTTTTTGAATTATTTCTGTATTATTAACTGCTTCCTTTGAGGTAGTGTTATCATTTTATTTATGCACCACTGAGTTGGTGCTTAACTTTGCTAATTTATATTTTAAAAAATTGTGGTAAGACACATATAACAAAATTTAACAACTTAACCATTTTTAAGGGTATAGTTCAGTGTTTTATCTTGTAAAACCAAAACTATACTAGTGGTGCCAAACCTATGACATGTGTGCCACAACCAGCTGTTTGTTATTACTGAAAGCTCTAAAAGATTCGCCATCACTGCTGTATACTCATTTAACAACTCATGTGGTGGCATTGACACTGGCACACACCTGTAATCTCAGCACTCTATGAGGCTAAGGTAGGAAGATTACAAGTTTGAGCAAAGACCAAATAATTTAACTAATTAGGAAGACATTATCTCAGAGTAAACAAATGAAAAAGTGTTGAGGATATGGCTCAATCTGAATGCCCTGGGTTCAATCTCCAGTACTGCAAAAACAAGAAAAATTGCACACACACACACGAAATAACTTCTCATTTCTCCTCACCTCCAGTTCCTGGCAACTGTCATTCTATTTTCTGTCTATTATAGGTACTTCATTTGAGCAGAATCATACTGTATTTGTCTTTCTGCCATTGGCTTGTTTCATGGAATTATATATTTGAGGTTCATTCATGCTGTATAATGTGTCAGAATTTCCTTTTTAAACATTTTTTTGAAGTGATATTTCATTGTATGTATAGACCTCTTTTTGTTTATCCATTCACCTCTTCCTGGACATTTGGACTGCTTCCATCTTTGACTATTTTAAATAATGTTGCTATGTACACAGGGTTTTTTTTGTATTTTTAATATCATTTTATCAGTATAACTCATCTACTTACCTTTATGTGTCTGAATTTGCCTGAGCTTTGGAAGGGAAAAACTGACTTTTATACATTTTGAATCCTAAGTCCCTAATGTTGCACTCTGCCCTGTTAATAATCCATGCTCAGTAACTGTTTGGTGATTAACAGATTTATTTTCAGTTACTTTTCTTGATTATTTTTACTTCTGTGGGAGTAATTAGTCTTTCAGTGATAAGTTAAAAGACAATCCTAACTTTCTTTAAAAATATATTAATGTTGGAAATCTTCAATAATTACTCAAAGATGTCTAAGAAGCTATTTCCATTAGAGCTCAGTTAACTTTCCTGGTCATCCTCAGTTTAGACATAGGACCTGGAAATGATAATTAAAAAGAGTAGTCACAGATTGTTTGAAAGAAAGGACAGCTATTTTGTGTCTTTTCTCATCTCTTCCCTGGATGTACAGTAAAAGTTAGACTAAATTATAGTATACTGCATTACAGATCTAGTAGCAATAATAGTACTGTCTAGTTCTCTTACCTCTTTAATGTTATTTATTTTTATAAAGGAAAATCATTTAAGATTTTGTGTGTCATATATTAGAAAAATTTTGAGTTGATTACTCATACTACTGTAACACTTAAAAAATTTTAGTTTTTTTGTTTGTTTGTTTGTTTTTGGTGCTGGGGATCAAACTTGGGACCTTGCACTTGTGAGGCAGGTGGTGCCACCACTGAGCTAAATCCCCAGGCCCGAAAATTTTAGTTTTTGACTAAGAAATATCTTGCATTTTGAAATTGTTCTCAAACAATTATGTGTCTTTCATAAATGTTTATAAAACTAATAATGTGCTACACTTCAGGAAACTTGATAACAGAGGTTTTTCAAAACTCGTGGCTGTTTTCTAGTACACACACACACATATATATATAAATGCAGTTGAGTAATTGTATATATAGATGTCAGAATACAGAATATACCTATACAATATTCTAGTTTTTTGCCTTGGCCATTTTTTACCTTCCAGTGCAGATTTGCTACCTTCATTCTTTTGGAAGAACTGTATTTACCTGATCTTACAAGTGTTCATAAGTGTTAGTCTTAATTTGGCATGTGTTTTTAATTGTGTTTTCTGATTGCAACGTACCCAAAGTTTAAAAATTAATGTACTTTATTTAAATTAATTCTTTGATTTATTTGTTCATTCATCATCCATTTATTCACTTAGCTTATATTTACAGGTGTACTGTGTATCTGACAAGACACCAACTGCCTTGTGTTGTGGGCTTTATTCCTTTTTAGTGATATATGAAAACTGTCATTTTAAAGCACAAGATATTTCATGAAATGTATTGTTAATCCTGGCAACCATTTTTATCAGTAACTTTCCAATTTTTGTTAGAAGTTGCATACAAAATAATAGGTGAGAGAGTGTTGCTATGTT